GGTCGTGGCCTTCTGTGCGTCCTCTTCCTCCTGCAACTCCTCATCCGCAGGGTGGTCCTACGGAGTGCGTTCCCTGACGCGGGCCTGGGACGGTGCCGGGCTCGGTGCCGAGTCAGCCCTCTCCCTTTCTGGCAGCCTGGAGACCGTGGCCTCCTTGCGGGAGGTAGGGCGGCACCGTGGGGAGCGGGACCGGTGTCCTGAGGAGTCCGATCTCGAGGTTCTGGACGGGGGGCCTTGTTGGTGGTAGGCCCAAGGGGTCCAGAATGGCCATTGTCCTGGGTGGCTCCACTGTGGTTGCCACGAGGCTTCGTGCTCCCTACTGGCCTGCGCTCTGTGGGCATATCTGCTAGAATGGCCCGAGTCCTCCTCCGACACTATGGACGGCGATCTAGAGGGCCACGGCAGTGCCGTGGGGCGGTGCCGGTCCGGAGTCGGAGAGCGATGCCTTCGAGACCGGGACCGTGAGTAGCGCCGTGCAGACCTGGACCTGGATCGGTACCGGTGACCCCGGGACCGGGAACGGCTGTGGGAGGACGGTCTCGGGAATCGTGCAACCGAAACGTCCCGGTGCCTGCTCGAGCAGGGCTGCTGGGCTGGTGCCTCGCGCGTGTTGGGGCCCGACTGTTGTGCGGCCCGCTGCGCGGAGGGAAGCCGGGAGTCCACCGAGGCGGAGCTCGACCGGGACCGGCGCCGCGCACGGTGCCGAGATGGCGACCGTGATGGGTGCATCATCGCCGGCTTGCCCTTGGACGGCAGTCTCGGCGGAATGTCCTTAGCGCGGAGGGTGCCTTCAGCGGACAATTCAATGAGGCCCTTTGCTGCCTCAAATGTGTCCGGGGTGGAGGGCTGTTCCAACAGTTCCTCCAGCCCTTCCTCCTCACTCGACGCGCTTATCCCGGGGCTCAACGGGCCTTTCGGCGCCGGAGCCACTGGCACCAGGATCTGTGTCGGGGCCGCAGCGGCTTTGGCAGCACTTGCGGTCTTCGCGGGTGCTACCTTCTTGTGCGGGGAACGTCCTCGGGCCTTGGGTTGGCCCTTCGGCTTAACCGGTGAAGAGGACCGGTGCCGGAGGTGTTCCCGCCGAGTCGGTACCGTAGGCTTAGGCTGCCCCGCCGGTGTCGGATCACGAACCGATGCCGGGGCACTCCGCACCGAGGTTGACGGTGCCGCGGAAGTGGAGGGCTGTAACGCCGCCTCCATGAGCAGCTGCTTAAGGCGAAAGTCTCTCTCTTTCTTAGTCCTGGGCTTGAAAGCCTTACAGATCTTGCAGCGCTCCTTTTGGTGTGCTTCCCCCAGGCAGCGGAGACACGATTCGTGTGGGTCGCTCAATGGCATAGGCCTGCGGCACGTGGCACAAGCCTTGAAGCCTTGGGTGTGCGGCATGCCCCGCCGCCCAGGGCCGGTGCCGGGGTTGGCCAAACACCTAGCGCAAAGACGTTTAGGTCTTTGTGAAGAACTGATAACTGCTACTTAACACTTAACAACTAACGAACTGATAACTGTATCACTAATTACTATGCTAAGGGACACTCTCAGACGAGAGACAGAGTTGTTCCAACGTCGCCACGGGCGGTAAGAAGGAACTGAAGGGGGGTCAGGCTGGCAGGGGTATATATTCGCTAGAGCGGGGCGCCGCTCTGGCGGGAAGGGAGACCCTGCAGGCCCGACGGGAGCCGCTGAGGGAAAAAAATTCCGACGTTCATACACGCGGCGCGCGCACACCTAATGTGTAATGGACGTGAACAATCACTCGAAGAAGAAGCTTCCTTCATGAATAATTGTGTGTGCCCCTCATTTTCGTTAGTTGTCACATATTGTGTCCCATTTTTGGGCTGTGGTAGTTTCACAAGTATGGGCTTGTAGGGGCTGCTGAGGAGACAATTCACAGTTTGGTGGACAAAGTGGCAGGACACAAGAGAAACATTTCAAAGCAGTATGTAGAAGATCCACTTTGAATTTATGCTTCAGGACCCACTCATGCCTTTGTCCCCTGAAGACTGGATCACAGCAATCAACTCCATTTTGGGTAATACCCTGAAGACTGGATCACAGCAATCAACTCCATTTTGGGTAATACCATCAAAAATCGTAACTAAGGAAGAAAGCATCAGCCTGCCTGCTAAACAAGTCTGGGTCGTGTAGCAGTTATACCTGCGATCTGTGACTTACACTGGCTGCAGGTCTATTTCAGAATTAAGTTTTTAGGTGTTAGTTCTGACCTTGATTTGAGGCCTGACTATCTGACAGACTGCTTTTCTCCTAATTAGTATTGTGGAAGTTGAGGTCATCTGAGGCACTCGAGCTAGCAGCTCACTTGCAATATGATCAGAATGGCACTGCTGGCAGGGCATTTTTAGTGAAGAAAACTTGAGTCTTGGAACTTGCATTTCTCTTTCACTCGACTGAACTCTGGATTTTGTAACCTTCTGGACACACTGCAGGGAAAGTCTTTCCTGAGTTCACCTTTAAGGCCATTACTCTCTCTGTATCCTCCTGAAGATCCACTTCTGTCATGATGCCTGTGAAGAAACTACCTGATTTATACTAATAAACCTTTGGAATAATCTTAGGAGATGGGGGGGGGGGGACTGTGTTAATGTAACCATGTATTAACAAGATGTGACCAAAACATCACTTTATTCACTCTCGTGAATGGGCTGTACTCCTTGTCTTTAACCTCTGTCAGTCATTAGACAGAGTTCTTTGCTGGTTTGAAAAGGTTTAGCAAAATGTGAGACTGGCGGGAAACAACAACAAACAAACAAATAAATAAACAACAACAACAAAACATGATGAGGAAAAGCCTAAAAGACTTGAGAGGTGGATTTAGCTTCAAAATGCATTTGAGAGTAGTGTTTAGAATACACATTTCTATTTGTACACCACAGATCTCAAATATTCCCAAAGGGAAAAAAAACCAAAACCCTCTTTCCTTTAGTATGTATTTAATAGAAAAATACTGAGAGAGATTTGTGGGGTTGATGCTAAAGCACTAACTGTTGGTTACTAGAAAAGTATAAGCATACAAGCAGTTTTTCATCATAAAAGAGCAAGTCTCCAAGTGGGATTAGTGGTCACTGTCAATTTTGGAAGGTAGACAGTGGTATGCTCAATACTAGCTTAACTTTTTCTGCTGAAGTTAGCCATTGACTTCAGCGGGAGCAGTGTCAGGTCAAAACCGAGTGCTTTAGAGAAGCCCCCTCACAGAGCACTCAAACACGTTTGGGCAGCCCTGGAAGATAGCCAGGTTGGGGGAGACAGTTCAGACAGGCAAAAGGTATTTTTTATCTAAGTTCAAGGATGACATTTTATTCCTATATTCATCACCTATCCCTCAAGTCACTCTCCTCTCCCCAACCTTTTCAATGATAACTGCTTTATAGTCCCTGCCACCCAGGCTTGTGCCCTGTTTGAATCTCAGAGCATCCAGGATCTTGAAAAAATCCTGCCATTCTTCCTTTGTAACATGCCTAAAATCTGACTTCTCCTCTGTATCCTGACTGCTAACCCCCTGCCTCATGCACCAGTTATTTTTAATCTCTACTATCATAACTTCCCTTTCTTTCTGGCTTCCTTTCTTCTCCCCTTTCTAGTCTATCCAAAACACTGCAGCTAAAAATCATCATCTCGCTCTGCCCCTCTCTCCACTGGCTCCTTGACTACACATCAAGTTCGGCCTCATCTTTCTCACCTTCAGGCATTCATATAGCTCTTTCCTTGCTTATATCTTAGTTCTCATTTCCTTCTACTCCTTCTCTTGTTCCATATGGTCTGTATAATCATCTTGCTTCACTGCTCCTTTGTTTTCTTCTCCCCACTCAAGAATCAGTACCAGTTGTAGCCACTTCTGTGCCTTAAACAACCTCCCTCTTCTTCAGTGGAAGGTGTCTCCACATTCTTCTAATCTGTCTTTTGCTTCATTTCCTTTATTATTCTCACCTCCATATTGTCTACTCTTGCTCTTGAGTGCATCTAAAATAGCATTCTCTGAATTCTTTGTAAATCGTACTCTGCAAAGAGCAGTATTCCCTTTTCCTGAGGTTTCTGTTGACTACCCTCCTTCCCTTCCACTTTGGTTGGGTGTCTACTCCAATTATGCTATACAGATACATTCTACCACCCTGATGCTGAGTGGTACCTTACTTCTAGAATAATCCCACTGAATGCAATGCAACTGTTTCAATAGACCAAGGTACTATTCAACATGAATAGGGGAAGCAGAATCTGGCCATTAGTTTGCAAACTCCTTGGGGAAGGGAATTTTCTTCTTTGTTTATAAAAGACCATCTGTACTCGTACATTAAATAATAAAATATTTATTATTATTGTATTAATTGTTTATTTCATTACATATTTTGAGTGAGGCCAGACTAAACAAGAGAGAGCATATCAACTCCATCCCACATGAAATTATATATATATATATATATATATATATAAAAAGTGAGCAGTCATAAATATTATACTTGCTATAATCAGTGTTCATGTGTCATTAGGTGTGTGGGTTTTCTGCATCCAAACAATCCACTTTCTGTCTCTGGAAGGATAGCACTTTCTCAATCAGTGAACTTTGTGAAATGTTATGTGACTTTTTAAATTAGCAATAACAACCTCGGGGGGCAAGATTCCATCTCTAGCAATTAAAATCTGGTTTTACAGTACAAAGTGTGTGTGTGTGGGGGGGGGAATTCTGGAAGGAAAAACACTGTTGTAACTTGTCTCTGAATATTCATCTTCAAAGTGGGAATGTGTACAGTGGGGGAAGAAAGCTGACTGCTCCGTATAAAACTGCAAACAATTTCTTGTACATACTGTAAATTAGTCAGCTACGAACTGAAAAACAAATAAGTTTACAGTCCACATCTGAGCGGAACGGCCTGAAGCAATGTGCTTTGTGTATAATTATGTTCTCAGCCTGAGAAATCTTACAGTGACTAGTTTACATGAGATCCACATGAAGTCAAGAACTTTAAGAGGTCAATGAATTTTCTGGGACTTACTGGACACACAGTGATGCTTTGTTCCCACTGACTCATGCTTAGACTTTCTTCCAGTGTTGTGCATTTCTTCATCACCATGTCCCATCCACAGTAAGGATCCTGGGATCCAATACATGCACTGCAAATACAAACCCAAAAGATTAGATAATATGAACACTTGTATTTGCCTATACATGCCAAGGCTCCCTGAGATGCTACTTAGCATTTCCTCATATTGTATAGATCAATAAAGTAAAAACAAACATGTAATTGTTGTAATGGAGTTCAGGTGGAGCATCAAGGTGACTGAACTGTGGAAAACTAATGGGAATTAATAAACATCTGGTATACAGACCTAGAATCTGTTATAGGTAGTCTGGTAAATTTCTAGTTGTGTGCATAGTATGTAGTCAAGTTGTAATAATACTTAATCATTTGCAGTATAGAAGAAGTAAATAAAAAATTAAAGTGTCTGCTCTCAGATGATTTCAGGAGGCGTGATTCTGTCTATTTTGAAACCACAGTTATCACCTTTTGAGAGGAAGGAGATAATAGCTGCTCCTTTGAAACAGAACACAACAAAACTTCATTAATAGCAGCTATTTCTTTTACAGTGTGGTATAGAACCCTTTGAAATAAGTACCAAAAATGGCTTATTCTGCCCTTGCTAGGTGGTATGAAATAGGGGAGTCCATGCAAATTAAGTAAATAATATCTATGCTTAAAGGAATAATCCCACAATTTCTTCATGTATTTGTTGTTACCAGTCTCTTTAAATCCATCATCGGGGGCTGGCCATTAGATCCTCGCATCAAAATACCCATACTTTCCTAGTACATGTACATATGTATTAAAGGGGAAGCTTGTAGTAACCCCTCTATTCAGGCTGTATTGACCCCTCATTTTCAGTTGTAAAAAATTCTTGCAACTTTTTTTAAGAAGTTCCTACACCTCCATAGTCTGCAGGAAGCCTTTGAAATTTGGCAAGTGAGAGAGCCCTCAGGCTAGAGAAGTGTTTATTCTTTATCCCATAAAATGTGTTCAGGTTTAGCTGAGTTCTAAACTGCTAAAAATTCCCATTTCCCTTATCTGACTTGCATCGATCAGCAATGTCTTGGAGCATACAAAAATAATTACTAAATGGAACATTCTAAAGAGCTGGGCCCATGCTGCTGCCAAAGCAGCAGCAGAACAGTAGCAGCAGCAAACACCGCACCGGGAATGTATGGGAACTGTCAGAGCACACTGTAGCAGTGTAGGAGCAGGGCAGAACTAAGGTATGGCAGGAGGAGCTAACCCTTCTACCCCACCCCCCACCATGCCCCTCAGAACCAGCACATGGTCCTAGGAATCCCGTTCACCCTCTTGGGGAACCACATGTAGGGTGACCAGATGTCCCGATTTTATAGGGACAGTCCCGATTTTTGGGGCTTTTTCTTATATAGGTTCCTATTACCCCCCACCCCCGTCCTGATTTTTCACACTTGCTGTCTGGTCACTCTTAGGGTTACCATCCGTCCGGGTTTCCCCGGACA